TCCCCCCAAAACAAACAAACAAAAAGAACAGGAAAATGTGGTTTAGGGTAAGAGAAACCTCACAGCAGCATGTTACCATGGAAACAGTTCTACACTACCCAGGTTAAAACTTCAAGGTCCTGGCTCCCTTCCTTGGGTGTTAGGTGACTGAGGATAATGGGTTTGGGGCTCTGCGGCTCAGTTTCTTAATTTGCAAGGTGAAGCAAGGAAAATCTCCAGCAACAGGAGAAGCAGTGGTGAAAACAAGTGAAGGAACGCAGAAAATTGTCTTGTCCATTCTGAAGAGTCGCACAGAGGAAAGAGCTTCGGTTGGTTTTCCTCTTGTCTCCCCACAAGCCTGGGCCTGCAGGCCGTGTCTGCAGGCAAGGCTGAGAAGACAGTTAACAGAGGAGAAAGATTGAGGTGAGCTCGCTCACAGGGAGGATGCGGAAGAAGCCTCAGGAAGAGCTGGGGGGACGGCAGAGCAGGAATCTAGCGGAGCAGGAAGGCGGCCCGGGAGGGGTCGGAAAGTCCAGGGCTTGCTCTTCAGTAGCCAAGGGAAGGACAATCAGTGTCCAGCTGCAGGAACGGCCAGGACACTCAGCGGTGCCCTTGCACGTGGGCTGGGAGGGGGTGACCAGGACACCCAGCTGTGCCCTTGCACGTGGGCTGGGACAGCGTCCTCGTGGACGCTTCCCTCAGATTTCCTCCTAGCAACACAAACTGATGCCGTTGTTCCCAGAAGATGAACCTAAGACATCCTGCAGCGGGTGGAGCTGGGCCGCAGTACGAAGATGGAGGCAGGACCTTAAAGCCGGCCCTTCTGGGGCCAGGGATGCTCTGGAAGGGGCTAACTGGACACACACTGGAGTCACAACCAGAATTTTTCTGTAGATGTTTGAAATCTGCTTATTTAGGTGATTCCCACGTTTAATCATATCACCTTTATGCAGAAGTCCTCAGCACAATGCATTGCTACACACATCATGTGTGAAAGAGACAGACGCTAGCAGAAGCGTCTCTGCTAACAGTGAAAACGACGATTGGCCAAAGGGACGGCTGCTTCCTGGTGCCGGAAGGCAGATGCCATCAGGAAGGCAGGAGGCGTCGCCTGGCATGGGCTGTGTATTTGAAGAAGCCACAGGCTCAAGAAGAAGTAGATCGCCACTCCTGCGCTCCTAAGAGGACTTCCACGAGACCGCTTCTCCAGGAAGAGAGGAAGGAGATTCCAACACTGAACCCTAGGGCTGCGTCCATCAGCTGTGCATTTCACTGCTGGCAGTTCTATGCCATCACTCTTCTAACCCTTGCCGAGATTGCCACACTAAATTGTGAATCTCACGTAGGGTGGGGTGAAAGGGCACGTGGCCAGGGCATGTGAGCCTGTGCTCTGTAGCTACAGCAAAATACCTCAGGCTGTGGCTTGAAAAGAGAAGAGGCTGAGTAGGCCGTTGGCTGCCAGTTCTGAATGTGCAGAAGCAGACGCCGGCTTCTGTACCTCTCTGGTGAGGACATTGTGCAGTGGTGGGGGCACGTGCAGGACCAGGCTCCCGCAAGAGCTGGCCCTTCCCGAGGGCAGTGGCCCCAGTACCTGCTGGTCGCCTGGCCCAGCTCCCAAGGACACAGCTTCCTCTCAGTTCCATCCACTCAGGGACCAAGCCTCCAGTACATGAACTTCAGAGACACACGCGAGCCATATCCAGGCTGGGAAAACCATCGTCCTTTTAGTCTGTGTTGTGCTTATTTCTTCACATTTGTTTTCTGTGATGAGAACTAAATAGCTCTACTTTTTGCTACTTCGGTGGTTATCTCAAATTTGTACTCCTATGGCAAGTTCTTGCTTTTAATCATCAACAGTGGGTCAGCTTTGTGAACGTGATACAGCATAAGTTGTGCAGTACGTGCAGCATGTGCTGGGCAGAGTCTCAAGAGCACAGGGTGCTTGGGCCCTTCTGAGCGGCAGGGGACAGTCCACCATGGAAAGGACTGGCTCTGTCACCTCCTGCAGCTCCAGCCGGAGCTCCATAACTTACCGTTCCCAATCATCACCCAGGGTAGTGAGGACAGAGACCAGAAGGAAGTCGAAGTTCTGGAAAGATGGCGGCCTCAGAAGAGGAGCTAAGGAAAGAATGAATGGAACAGAAGACAGAGCAGAGCTGAGAGTTCCCTGCAGTAGGGGTGGCTTCTACAGAACCTGAGAGGACAGGGTGCGGATGTTGCATGTGGCACGGAGAGACACAATTTCAGTTACATTTGGGAGTCTGTTAAGTGTGATGCACAAGGGCTTGGACTTCGGCCCCGAGAGCTGAGAAGGGGTTAAGCTCACACAGTGGAGTCAGGTGTGGAGACAGGGGCCTCACGTCTCCACCTGGACACCTGAGAAGAAAGTGCCGAAACCCTGAGCAGAAAGAGCATGTGGGAGCCCCTGACTTCATCTCACCCTGAGCTGCCTTTTCCTGGATACATGGATAAACTGGTCTGTCCTTCTGCGAACCCGGTCAGGAGGCTGTTATGGTGCTGAGCGATCCGTGCACCGTCTGGAGCCTACACGGGGCCCACGTGCTCCTTGCCCTTCCTGGAAGCCAGGGAGGCAGGTCTGCTGCCCCCCAAGGATGCTCCTTCCAGCCCAGGGCACCTAGCACGCACCCTCTTCTCCCTCCAGGGACCACCTGCACCCGCTCCTGCCCCTGCACCCCAGGGCTGAGTTTCCAGGCTCCAGCAGCCTGCTCATCTGTCTCTGCTCATCCCTCCTCTGCCTCTGCTTTTGAAAGATCATTTCTTGGCGGTCAGACCTGAGCAGCTGCTTAGCCCTGGCCTCTGTCTGTTTTATGAGAGATGTACACACTTTTTGGTTCTCCAAGAAGTATCTGGATGGATTCATCAAGATTGCTGCTCTAAGCCTGCTCAGAGTGGCTGCCCATGAACATCTGCTCCACACAGTGGCTTTGTGCCAGGCTCGGGAAGCCCAGCGCCGCGCTGCGCGTGATGGGAGATCCTGAAGATGGGCGGAACCGATGACAGAAAAGGAGGGCAGTTTTTTAAAAAGGATGTGTCAAGGTTAAGAATGGGCCACGTGAATGCAGCCCAGCACTAACTATTTTGAAGAGCAGGGCTCTCACCCCACCACTCCCCACACCAGACAAAGGCTGATGAGTGTGGCCCTCCTCCCTGAGTAGAGCTGGGAGATCGGAACCAGAGGACACTCGCCCTCCAGCGGACACTGCAGCTGGGGCACCCTGAGGACTACAGCGGTTGAGCTGAGCAGGTCCTAATGTCAGTAGTTTTCTCACCGCAGGGCACTCAGAAGAGGCACTCTGTCCTTTATCAAGTGCCTGCTCCTAGAGCCCAGGAGAGCAGGAGGAGGCATTTCCTGGACTCTCCACAGTGCTGGAGACTCCGTCATATGGTTCCCATGACGCTGTAAACAAGGGCCTCCTTGGTGTGAGTGGCTTAACTTTCCCTAGCAACTGCACACAGACATCAGCCCTATCTGACTCGGGCTCTGAAGCTCCAGATGACTAGTAGCTGCAGGTTGGCAGCTGCGTGCATTCCCAGAGCTGCCCCCAGCCACCTCCCCTCTGCTCCTGGCTTGGTGATGGTCCTGGTGCCCACGGAAGTGGGGTCCCAGCAGGCAGCCAAGCCAGGGCAGTGCTGCCAGGTGGAGAAGTGGAGAATTTAAGGGCAGAGCCACAAAGTCCACTGGAATCCAGTCCCTGAAGGAAATGCCTCAGAGGGTCACAGCAGGGGTCCCCAACCCCCAGGCAATGGGCTGCGTACTAGGAAGCAGGTCACACCGTAGGTGCACAGGATGGGGCCAGCGATAGGCTCTTTGTCTCCCCTTCTAGGCCCTCCGCACTACAGGCATCAGCCCCTGAGGGTCAGCTCCTGTGAAGTGAGCTGAGCCTTAGAATTTCCTGGGAGCTCGAACCCTCCTGTGAGCTGCACTTGTGCAGACTCTGGGTCACCTTCTCCGTATGAGAATCAAATCCTGAAGCCACCACCACCCCGACATCCGCCTCTACTCCTCACCCCCTTCTGCCCACCCCACCCCCACCTCATGGAAAAATCACCCTCAAAATTGATCCCCGGTGCTGACAGCTGGGGACCCTGGTTCAGACTCGGAACAAGCGAGGGGTTTGCACCTCTGTCCTTGCTCCTTTTGTAGCCTCGCGTCCCTCACACACACTCCAAATATGAATGTCCTTCACCCCCATGATCTTTAGAAGGTCAGCTTTGCATGTTAGTCATGAAGTAGTCTGCCACACAGACTGACCTCTGTAGCCCCACAGGAGGAAGAGGGATGTGAAAAAGAGCCTGGCTCCCACCCTACACGATAAGCCAGGGAGCTCCCCTGCTGGGGAGGGCCTCTCTCCAGAAGCCTGATGTGGAGACTGTTAGGGTTCCCCGGGCTGCCGTGTACTGCCAGTGCTGTTTGCCACCTTTATGGGCTGAGGAGTAATTTCCCAGCTCGGGAGAGACACCCACGATTTGGAGCTCTAGGAGTTTACAAACTCTGCTTGGGTTCCTCGTTCCCTTCCGTTTGAAGGCCAGCTCCTTCAACCCCCTTCTTGCAGGGAGTTCTTGTCGAGCGCTCTCTCAGAGGCCAGAAGGTGCACATGGCAGTGTGCACGGGAGCAAAACGCCCCACGGAGCACAGGACCGCAGCTCCCTGAAGACGCCCCATCGAGGCTCCTGACCGTGAGGGGCAGGGCTCCGGCAGCGCCCTGTCTGCAGTGCGCTTGTTAGTTCTGTGCCATATTTGGACAGATCGCAGATCTGTGCTCCTAATTTAGCCACAAACCAAGTAGTGATGAAGATGGCATCAAGCCTCTGGCTGCCCTGAAAACCCCTGCAAGTGGTAAAGTAGCCAGGATGCGCCGAGCGCCACCCTGTGTCACTATGTGCCTTTGCCTCTAGGTCTCCAGATCTGCTGGGGGTTTTGCTCACTGGTGTCTGTGATTTGAAAAGAAACATGGCCATGGCCCTGCCTCAATTCTTGCTTTCCTTTTTATCTGTTTCAGATCTATCAGCACTCCTACACTGGATATTATGTCCTGAGCAAGATCCCTCACGGGTAAGATGGTTGCGTTTTCTTTTAACTAGAAGTCAGTGGAGCACAGCGAGGCCCAGAATGCGGGCTGCCAGCTGACCCCTCAGGGCAGGAGCGGGCACCTTGACTTCTACAGAGAAGGGTTCTGATCTTGCCAGAGCCAGCGTGACTCACCGCTAGACAGCCAAGGGTGGCATCAGGGCCACTGGAGCCCACCAGGCGGCCCGTGAGTGCTGGCCTCCCTCCTCCCCCCCCCCAAACTGCTCTGCTCGCTTCTCGTCCAGCTCAGAGCCCTCATGACTGTGGAGGAAGCTCCCTGGCTCTCCTCAGAGGGTGCCGTTCCAGGAGCTGCAGCCTGGTACGGCATTCTGGGGCCTACGCTCGCATTCTCCCCAGTACCATGGTCAGCATGGCCAGTCTCAGGGACAGCAGTGGCCTGGGACTCCCACAGGACTCCTGGTCACATCCCCACTAACGGAAGAGAAGGTTATCACTATGCCGCGTGCCACTAATGATGTGTGGCATGTGTTGGTCGTATTGAGGGATGGACTGTTGTCGCATGCACAGCCGAGCCTGGGAGATGGTGGGGGATGGACATGCATCGCCAGCCCTGCCTGGCGCCCAGAGGAGTCTGCCCCTGTGGCTGACGGGGCCTCCAGGCAGTTCTGCCCCCAAGGGTGGGCTCCAGAGCCGCCCTGGTGGGGCCTCTGGGCTTCCCGCTGCCTCCTGAGCTTTGGTAGCTCGGCTCAGCTCAACTGGTCCCTCATAAATCTGTGGTCGGGACCCGAAAGTATCTCAGGGAAGAGACCCGAGTCTGGAGCTGTTTCAGGGCTCAGCGTGGTCGCCTGTCCCACGCAGCATTTCTATGCATGGCCGGGGCTTCCCCTTCCACCTCAGGGCCCCTGCTGAGTCGGATGCTACATAGAACCAGCTGCACGGCTGGGCAAATGCAGAAGGGGAGGCCTTCTGTGGCTTCCATTCTCTCTCTCTCTCTCCCCTCGCCTTCCCCGCCCTCCCCCTTGGGCGCCCCAGTTTTCTCCCTCCCACCCTGCGCTCCAGCCTGCCTTTCTCTGTCATGTGCTCATGCTGTCTGCCATCAGCCCTTGGGGGGATTACGGAACACTCAGCAAGCATCTGAATCGTGCTGCTGTCCCATCCCCTGGGAATATTCCAGCTGAGGTGTTCTAATTTTCCCAAACTAATTTAAACAAACAGCAGGAGTTACTAAAAAGTATTGTTCCAGGGGAGATCATTAATCACAGCGTGAATGCTTACGATTGTGGCTGCTCCCACTAGCGCAGGTGGAACCCGGGTGTGTCCTTGGAAAACAAACACAGAGAAAATAATTTTAGTGACGTCCTGGCACAAGGGACATAGACACTTGCAGAGAGACGGTAAAGCGTGTGTGATTGTGCTTGTGGCGTATTCTAAAAATTAATCCAGATAAGCCGAAGCTAGCCTGCCCTGTGGATAGGAAGGTAAGCACAGGAATTTTTCATTAAAAAATATATTTCAAATGGAAACGCGAGTGCTCTGCAGTAAAGAGGAATTAGTCTACTCATCTTCAAGCAGACAGATGTCCTCAAAGGTCGTAACAGGCAAGAGTATCATCGTGCCTGAGGTTTATCTAACCCCTCCTGGGCGCAACAGAAGGTGCTGAAGGGGATGGATAGTTCATATCTCTCTCTCTCTCTCTCTCTCTCTTTCTCTTTTTTTTTTTTTTTTTTTTTTTGTGGTACTGGGGATTGAACTCAGGACCCTGCCCTTGCCAGGCAAGCACTTATTCTACTGAGCTATTTCCCCGGCGCCTGTTCATTCCATCTTAAACAAATATGTTAACCTCAAGACTCTAAAAACAGTTCCCGCCTGACATGCTGTGCTAGTGGTGCACTCCATGGGTCGGCATTCAGGAGACGCAGACCCCAGATCGGGGCAGGACGGTCACCAAACACCCCAGGAAGGCGGGGGCAGGAGGCGCGGGGAGGCACGATTTCCTGTGCGTGCGCTGGAGCCCCGCGGTGACAGCCTTCTGGGGGGACACCGCGTGCTGTGGGAGCAGCCGCTTTGGACTGAGGCAAAGCACAGTGGCGCTTAGCAAGCAGAGAAGAATTGTCATAGCCGTGAAGGTCAGGTGTTTAGTGAGGAGCTGGTTTTTCTTTCCCAAGCTTTCTTCTCTGGCTGGAAGATGTAGTGGATTCCTGTCCCTCTCACAGCCCCTGGTGGTCGCTGAGGCACTGTCACCCTATTGCCGCAGGCATGGACATAGCTCCGCCAGCCTGGCTTTCCCGCCTCCTGGCTCTTCCACTTTGTCACAAATCCTTGATGGGAAGGAAATTCATTGATATATTAACCTCAAGTGTTGTCAAAATCCTATGAATATTAGTGAGACTGTGCATTCCCGCTGAACCACCCTTCCGCCCGGCTGTGGCAGCTGCAGCCCGGGAAGAGGCTCCCTTCCCCTCGCTTCCCAGGAAGCCGCACCGCCCCTCAGGGTGGCACGCAGGGCACAGCCCCGGGCTCACCCCTCGTGGTGCAGTGAGCCCGGCACAGCAAAGGCCTGCTTGTTTTGTAAAAATAAAACTCCCTTGTAACATATTTAAAATTATATTACTCGCACGTTATGTTATTCATATACAAAACAAGGAGACTTTTCCTGGTAGTTCTAAAGATGGGGAGCTGCACCCTTCTGCAGAGTCTCGCCTTTTCTTCCTTCGCCCCTTTCCCTGGACTCGGGCCAGAGGTCCTTCCACCTCTGCGTGGCATTATCTGTCACATATGACCTGAGGCTTTTCTTAGCCTGGAGCTTTCCAACCAGTTACAGCACAGGGTCAGCGCGACCTCTGTGTCCTCTAATTCCTGGTTCCTTTCCTTTTTGGAAACAGCGGGAGAGAGTTTGAGAAGCTGCCCCCTTCTCGTTTGTTTGTTTGTTTGTTTGTTTGTGTGTGTGTCATTTGTTGTGCCTGGGATTCAGTGCAGGGCCGTGAGCTGAACTACAGTCCCAGCCCCTTTTTATTTTTTAGTTTTGGGACAGGTTCTCTCTGAGTGGCAAAATCACCCAGGCTGGGCTCAGATTTGTAATCCTCCTGCCTCAGCCTCCGGGGTATTGTGTGTTTCTCTTGTACGGCTCTGTCCTGCGCAGGTATAGGGCAGCACAATGCATGCTAAATCATCATCACTTTAATTCTATTTAAATAAATAAATCTGCACTAACGACACGCATCCTGTAAGCAGACAGTTCTTTCTGGTGTGACTGGCTTTTTGGTCCCTGGAGCTGCAGCCGGGCTGAATTCATTTTGCACGTCATGGCTGAAGCCACCGCCACAGTCCCCAGACAACCTAATTTCCATTTATTCATGATCAAGTACCTAGGAGTAGGTTGGTCTGACCTTCACATATCAAATTTTCAAGACCTGTATTTCTTTTACTTGATTAAAACATGGAGTTTATTTTATCTGTCTTTTCTCGTCTCCCCCACCCATGCCTCCTGCTGCTGTCCTGTCCTAGCCCAACATTCTGATATTCTGAAGCTCAAGCAGAAAGTGGCGTCCTGCTTTAAAAGCTGGATGGGCAATTTGGGTGGCGCATGCTTCCCTTGGAACTCAGGTGACGTTTATCAAACACGGCAGGGAAAGGTCTCATTTTGTGCTATTCAAAGGACAGCCAGGAATTGGCTGCTCTAGGGGTGAAGCAAGCACAAAATCTTAGCAGACTCTTTCAACAACTTCCTTAAAGACACTTCCTCCTGGCCAGAGGTCTTGGGCAGCCCCCTGCTCAGCCACCTGGAAGCAAATCTCCACCCAACAGACCATCCTGGCTCTTGCTTCAAGAGAACTACCTCGCTCTATACCAGTTCGCAGTTTTCCTTTAACGTCTTCTACACAATTAGGGCCTTTTGGTACTTGGGAGGTTTTTCCTTTTATTGGAGATTTTTGACCTTTGGACCTCTGATGCCCTTGAGCTTTGGCCGTCTTGGCTGGATTCTGGGTATCTTGTGCTGACCTATCTCATATACATTTCTTCCTGCATGACTTTTCTTCGGTTTTCTCTCAGAAGCACCGTCTTTTTTAGCAGCAGCTTTTCCTGTTCCTGGGGAATTTGCTCCCACTTCCAGGGCAGACCACTTTCCAATGGAGTTAGGCGTTGTGTGCCCTCCTCCTCCCCCTCTGCCGGCCTGCTCCCTCCCCAGGTGATCTGTGCCACCCGCCTAGACACACGCCCTGGGCTGCCCTGCAACCCCAGGCCTGGGGCAGGATCGCAAAGCTCTGAAATCATGGGAGGTGCAGACAGAGGCAAAGCTGCCAGGGTCACTTTGCCGGGACTTGGCGTCACACTACAATTCGGTGCCGCTGCTGGGCGAGGTGCTGTTCAGCCCGGGTACCGGCCCCCGAACTGACCTGTGTAGGGCTCATGCCACCACCGCTGCCCCCCTTCCAGGGAGTGTCTTCGCCACCCTTAGTTCACCAGACAGCGCTGAGGCCTTGGGGGGTGGCACCCATGCTCACTGCATAGGGTGGCGACGTGCACTTCGGTAGGAGAGAAGCAGGCAGAAATAAGGAATGACTGCCCAGAGGACAGACGTGCAGGACGGAGCCACACCGGCAAGGGCTGTCATGGAGGACAGACATGCAGGACATAGGCCTTTTATGCAAATTTGTTTATTTAAACAGAATCAAAACTGGTTCTTTTTAACATGCATTTCACTAAAGTGCAAATAGAATTTCAACAAATTAATGCAGTTTTCCGCAGCAGATACGATAGCTAGGCAAATGTTCTCTGTCAAAAATCTGCTCTGTGCTTTTTAGCAATAAGCGAGCCGTGCAAGAAGCTCATTGGCTGGGGTGCTACTGCTGCTTGCAGCTTGTTCTGCATGTCGAAGCGGCTGCTGTGGCAGAGCCAGCTCCCTCTTGGCATTTTCCAGGCAGGACATTTTTCTGGAGTTAGTGTTGCCTTTAGCTTGTCCCTTAAAGAACGTACCTTCTCTGTGTGTTCTGCGTGATCATCCATCACGGGAATCATTCCAGAAG